GGCTTTTTTTCTTTTTGCTTATGTGGTGCTGAGGAATCGAACCCAGGGCCTCATGCATGCAAGGCAAGCGCTCTACCACTGAGCCACCTTCCCAGCCCAGAAACCCACAGTTCTGTATTTTAGGACAAATTGGATAGGTAGTAGCTATCTCCCTGCCTTTTCCCAACCTCTTTACTCCAGTTTCCTCTCATTGAAAGCCCTTTTTAAATCCAGGTACCACGGAGAGAAGCTCCAACCATTTGGGCAACTGAAGAGGTCTCGTGGAACTGGTTTGGGACTTATTTCCACCATCTATGATGAGCCTCTACCCCAGGACCAGAAGGAGTCGCTGCTGCGCCGCCAGCCACCCACCAGTTTGAAGTTTCGGACAGACATGGCCTTTGTGAGGGGTTCCCGTTGTGCCTCGGACAGCCCCTGGGAGCCTGAGTGAGAGTTGAGGGCTTCCTTGGTTAGGACCTTTGTTGGTTGAAGCGTGGGGCCCTTTACCTGGGCCTTCACTTTCACTGAAGCACAAAGGATTCTGGAAGCAGCAATCTGTGCCACTGAGACTTGGTGCTCAGTTCTCTACCTCAAGGACATTAAAAAAGCAAAAACAACCCCCAAAAGTTGTCTCTCCTCTTGGAGATAAGGGTTTGTTTAATGGCTGCTCCTTGGTCTCCTAATTCTAGTTTGTTTGGGCTTGCCCCAGAGCCTGCGAAAGCCGGACTGTCAGAGGTCACAAGCATGGCTTCCTTGCAGGCCAGGAAAGCCAGAAGAGGGAAAGGACAAGGAGGAGAGGCTTCGTGCTGGCCTGCAGTCTCCCCCAGCTCTTACATCGCCTCTCCCTTCACGGCTGGAGACGGGTAGGGCGAGTCCTCGGGTGACCCAGGCTTGCAACAGAACGCGAGAATAAAGAATGTCTGCGACTCCACTTTATCTTCCCTTGTGTTCCAAGAGAAGGCTGGAGGTTCCAGGAAGGCGCGGCCAGCTCGCGGAGGGCGCGCCACCCACGGGGGAGGACGCGGCGGTGCGGGCCCGCCCCCAGCGATACGTCACCGCGGTGTAGGCGGTACTTCCTTTCAGGGGCCGCTTCCGCCGGCACCCGGAAGTCAGGAGCGTGTTTCCGTGCCGGGCGGTTGGGGGCGGCCGTTCTCCTCAGGTAACCCCGGGACGCCGCGGTCTGCTCCCAGTGAAGTACCAGACGAGGGCACGCCCCCCGCCGCGTGGCTCGGACGCTTCCCCACCGGGCCCCGTTCCTCCATGGCGGGGGCTGCTCCGGCCGCCGCCTTCGGGCAGGCAGTGATCGGCCCCCCGGGCTCGGGGAAGACCACGTATTGCCTGGGCATGAGCGAGTTCTTGCGCGCGCTGGGCCGGCGCGTGGCAGTGGTGAACCTGGATCCGGCCAACGAGGGGCTGCCGTACGAGTGCGCCGTGGACGTGGGCGAGCTGGTGGCCCTGGGCGACGTGATGGACGCGCTGCGCCTGGGACCCAATGGCGGCCTGCTGTACTGCATGGAGTACCTGGAAGCTAACCTGGACTGGCTGCGCGCCAAGCTCGAACCCCTCCGTGGCCACTACTTGCTCTTCGACTGCCCAGGCCAGGTGGAACTCTGCACTCACCATGGCGCTCTGCGCAACATCTTCTCCCAGATGGCTCAGTGGGACCTCAGGGTGCGTCTTGGGTCGGGGCAAGCCCAGGCCCATTTTGCAGAGGGAGCAACTGAGACAGGAAGGAGAACAGAGGCCACGTCCCCGTGTCACACGAGGCAATAGGGATTGCCTTGATTTGGAATAAGTTGAGGTCGAATTTTACCTCTGCTTCTGCTCACTATGTGATTTGCGTATGACACCTCTCTGAACCTTAGTGTTTTTCCATCTGTAAAATGGACACTCGTGTCTATCAGGATCTTTGGAAGGATTATGTGGAAGGTGTCTCTGGTAGATTTTTCAGTTGATGGGCAAAAGCAAAAGAAAGAATGAAGGTAGCCAGGGCATGATGGTGCATGCCTGTAATCCCATCATTCGGGAAGCTAAGGCAAGAAAATTGTAAGTTGGAAGCCAACCTGTCCTATATAGCAAGACCCTGTCCCAAAATAAAAGAATGGAGACAGGTGAAACAGTGGAAGCAGAATTCGAACCTGCTGCCCACTGGGAGTCTCTGCTCAAGACATGAGCACAGCCATTAGAACAAAATAAAGCAAACATGATTGGGGAAGGCTTTCACTCGGTCCTGCAGCTCCATCTGATGAGGGAGACGGTCCCAGAGGTTCCCTGCATGCGCCAGCCCAAGTCACATTTGCCCTGTCTTTTCCCCTCCCAGCTGACAGCTGTCCACCTTGTGGATTCTCACTACTGCACAGACCCAGCCAAGTTCATTTCAGTACTGTGCACCTCCCTGGCCACCATGCTGCATGTGGAACTGCCACATGTCAACCTCCTCTCCAAGATGGACCTCATTGAACACTATGGGAAGCTGGGTAAGAGCTTGAATTTCAGACATGAAGGAGCAGGGCAGGACCTGGGCTGGCATGAAGCTCAGATCTCAGCTGAAGCTGCCTCTGGGACAATGCGTGGTCGGGTGAGAATAGCCAAAATAAGTCCTGCCTGTTGCTCTTTGACTTTGTGCTGGATATTATTGCAGAATTCGGAGAAGAGAGCTACAGGTGGTTATATGTGTTATAGAAGCAGTTAAAACAAGGTGATAGGAGCTTGGCTTACACCTGTAATCCTAGCTACTCAGAAGGCCAAGATCTGAGGATTAAGGTTTGCTGCTCAAGCAGCAAAGTCTGTGCAACTCTTATCTCCAATTAACTAGCAAAAAGCCAGCAATGGAGATGTGGCTCAAGTAAAATGCCAGCCTTGAGTGAAAAGGCTTGAGTTGAAGCCCCCAGTACAGGCACCACAGTAAAGTGATAGGGAAGAAATGAAGTGTGGTGAGTTAGCACTGTGCTAACTCACAGCACTGTGCTGTGAAGCATGGCATCTGAACTGATCCGGAGTGGTGAAATAGTGCCAGCTGAGGGGGGACTCTTCTAGACAGAGGGCCTAGTAGGAGTAAAAATCTTTGTTGTTGTTGTTTGGCCAGTCCTGGGGCTTGAACTCAGGTCCTAGGCACTGTCCTTGAGCTTTAGCTCAAGGCTGGCACTCTACCACTTGAGATACAGCACCACTTCTGGCCTTTTCTGTTTATGTAGTACTGAGAAATCGAATCCAGGGCTTCATGCATGCTAGGCAAGCACTCTACCACTAAGCCACATTCACAGCCCCAAAGCTTTGTTTTATTTCTCACAATTTTGGTGACTGGGAAGTCTGGGGAGGGCCTGCTCTTGACTTATAGAAAGCCAGCCTCCTTACAGTTGTAACATCAAGTGGCAGAGATACCTGAGGGAGAGAGGATAAGCACAATGTGGAGGAAATGGAAAAGCAGGCTAGCAAGAATCAGAGGTGTCCTGTGAGGTCCCAGTGTCCACATTTCTTTTCTTTTTTTTCTTTTCTTTTTTTTGTCAGTTGTGGGACTTGAACTCTGGGCTTGGGCGCTGTCCCTGCGCTCTTCAGCTCAAGGCGAGTGCTCTACCGCTTGAGCCACAGCGCCACTTCTGGTTTTCTAGTGGTTTGTTGGAGATAAGAGTCTCACGGATGTTCCTGCCTGGGCTGGCTTTGAACCTCGATCCTCAGATCTCAGCCTCCTGAGTAGCTAGGATTACAGGTGTGAGCCACTGGTGCACAGCTTCCACATTTCTTTTCTTACCAAATTACTGCTCTGCTGTACTGGAGGCATTGGTTCCTTGAATCTGAAGCATAAAGAAACCTAAAGAGGGGCTGGGAAGGTGGCTCAGTGGTAGAATGCTTGCCTTGCATGCATGAGGCCCTGGGTTCAATTCCTCAGCACCACATAAGCAAAAAGTAAAAAGAGCCGGAAGTGGCGTTGTGGCTGAGGGACAGCGCCCAGACCCATGGCTCAGGCCCCACGACCAGGACCCAAAAAAAAAAAAAGAATTTCGGGACTGGGAAGGTGGCTCAGTGGTAGAGCACTTGCCTTGCATGCTTGAGGCCCTGGGTTCGATTCCTCAGCACCACATAAGAAAAAAGCCAGAAGTGGTGCTGTGGCTCAAGTGGTAGAGTGCTCACCTTGAGCTGAAGAGCTGAGGGACAGTGCCCAGGCCCAGAGTTCAAGCCCCACGACCGACCAAAAAAAAAAAAGGAAGGGCTGGGAATGTGGCTTAGTTAGCAGTAGAGTGCTTGCCTAGCATGCATGAAGCTCTGGGTTCCATCCTCTGTACCCACATAAACAGAAAAAAAGCTGGAAGTGGTGGCACTGTGGCTCAAATGGTATAGTGCTAGACTTGAGCAAAAGAAGCTCAGGAACAGCACCCAGGCCCAGAGTTTAAGCCCCAGGACTGGCAAAAAAAAAAAGACAAAAGGAAAAGAAGAAAATGTAAATACTAAACTGGGTGCCGGTGGCTCACACCTGTACTCCTAGCTACTCAGGAGGCTGAGATGTAAGGATCACAGTTCAAAGCCAGCCCGGGCAGGAAAAGCTGTAAGACTCTGATCTCCAATGAACCACCAGAAAACCAGAAGTGGTGTTGTGGCTCAAGTGGTAAAGAGCTGAGGACAGTGCCCAGGCCCAGAGTTCAAGCTCCACATCTGACAAAAAAGAAAAGAAAAAATGTCCTAGGGCCTCGTATATTCTCAGATGCTATACCACGACATTCCATCCAAACCTTTCTCCCCTTGGCTTAACCCCAGGGCTTCACGCTCACTAGCCAGAGTGTCAGTCTACCATTAAGCCAGACCCACAGTCTCTCTAGTCTCAGCTCCTCTTTAGTCCTCAGCCTAAGGCAAGTTGCTCCTGAATCCTGGTTTTTCTTCTAGCCTTCAACCTTGACTATTACACGGAGGTCTTGGACCTTTCCTACCTGCTTGACCACCTGGCCTCTGACCCTTTCTTCAGCCACTACCGTCAGCTGAACGAGAAACTGGTGCAACTGATTGAAGACTACAGCCTGGTCTCTTTTATCCCTCTCAACATCCAGGTATTGGGTACTGAGAGGTCACTAGCCAAGCGCATAGAACGATGTGAGGGCTAAAACAATGGTCTTTATCCTGGGTGTGTTTTGGGGTCCCTTGCTTTTAGAACCAGGGGGTGTGGTGGGCACAACAGTAGTGGTGTAGGTGGAACAAACTTCCGCCTTGTCAGTTCTTCCTACATGTATTCCTGGAGTGAAGATGAGTTGAGTCAACAAAGTCATCAGCCAGCAGCCTCAAGACCACAAACAGGGCCCATTTACATACATGTTTTTTGGTGACTTTGCAAAATTGTACCTAACTCCTATCCTTCTCAACTTGCCCTTGTAAAGCTAATCTAAGAGACACAGGTATATGTTAGATATGTTTCTGTAGGAAGTAGGCTTCACCTAATTCCCTATTTTGTGTGTGTGTGTGTGTGTGTATGCATGCACGCGCCAGTCCTGGGGCTTGAACTCAGAGCCTAGGTGCTGTCCCTGAGTTCCACCCCTCTCCCCAGGGCTAGTGCTCTACTATTTGAACCACAGTTCTGCTTCTTCTTTTTTTTTGGTAGTTAATTGAAAATAAGAGTGTCGTGAACTTTCCACTCAGGTTGGATTTGAACAATGATTCTCAGATCTCAGCCTCCTGAGTAACTGAGATTACAGGAGTGAGCCACTAGTGCCCAGCTTGTTTTTTCCCTTTCTGATGCCATACTTTTCTCCTCTGTTGTGAAAAGGAGAGGTACAGTATCCTTTTTTTTTCCCCTCCTCTGGTCCTGGAGCTTAAACTCAGGGCCTGAGTACTGTTCCTGAGCTTCTTTTGCTCAAGGCTAACACTCTACCACTTGAGCCACAAGACCACTTCTGGCTTTTTCTGAGTAACTAATTGGAGATAGTGTTACAGACTTTCCTGCCTGAGTTGGCTTTGAACTGCAATCCTCAGATTTCAGCCTCTTGAAATAGCTAGGATTACAGGTATGAGCCACCAGTGCCCAACTTCAGTATACATTCTTAACTGCACTTACTCAGGCTTTTTCTGCTGGGACTATACATGTATTTTGATCTGTGTAATAGTTATTATTACTGATTTGAGTGAAGAAAATAGTTATAAGTGACACATTTAACTTACAGAGTATTGTAATGTAGGATTGACTCCTTGACCTTAAGTGGTAGGTGGTTGAGTAGAGGACAGATAAATTACTGGGCATTTCTTTCCTCCCTCCCTTCCTTCCTCTCTCCCCCTCTCTTTCCTTTCCTTTTCCTTCTTTCTTTCCTTCTTTCCTTCCTTCCTTCCTTCCTTCTTTGCGTCTTAACTGGGTCTCAACTCTGGGCCTGGGTGCTGTCTCTGAGCTTTTGTGCTCAAGGCTAGCACTCTGCCACTTGAGCCATATTTCCACTTCCAGCTTTTTGGTGGTTAATTAGAAATTAGTCTCACAGACCTTCCTGTCCAGGCTGATTTTGAACCATAATCCTCAGATCTCAGGTTCCTGAGTTGCTAGGATGACAGATGTGAGCCATTGGTGCCTAGCCTGGGAATTTCTTTCTTTCTTTTTTTTTTTTTTTTTTGGGTCCAGTCGTGGGGCCTGAACTCTGGGCCTGGGCGCTGTCCCTCAGCTCTTCAGCTCAAGGCTAGCGCTCTACCACTTGAGCCACAGCGCCACTTCTGGCTTTTTTCTTTTTGCTTATGTGGTGCTGAGGAATCGAACCCAGGGCCTCGAGCATGCAAGGCAAGTGCTCTACCACTGAGCCACCTTCCCAGCCCTGGGAATTTATTTCTAAGAAAGCAGGGGTATTGTCAATAATGAGAATACAGCCAGGGGACTAAGTTGCACTGAGGAGCTAATGTGTTCTAATCTGGGTAGGCTGGTGGTTGGAAAGGGTAGGTTTTAGTCAATGTACATAGAACTGCTCTAGGCTGAAGAAGTCACCCATACAGCTGCATCAGCAGGTGAAATGGGAGAGTATGTTTGGAGATTATAGGATTTTTGGTATAGTTCTAACACCTCTGTTTTACTTGTAAAATTGTTTCTCTTCTCAGGACAAAGACAGCATTCAGAGAGTCCTGCAGGCTGTGGATAAAGCCAATGGCTATTGTTTTGGAGTCCAGGAGCAGCGAAGCCTGGAGGCCATGATGTCTGCTGCTATGGGTGCTGACTTCCACTTCTCCTCGTATCCTTACTCGCAGCCACAGCCAAGAGGAGACTGGGGCTTGGAAATGGTCACAGAAAGGTCAAAGAAAGGTATTGGTGGTTCATGCCTTTAATCCTAGCTACTCAAGAGGCTTCAGATCTGGAGGAAGTTCAAAGCCAGCCTAGGTATAAAAACCCAAAAGACTCATTTCCTGTACGGGTGTGGTTCAAGTGGTAGAGCAAATCAGCTGAGCAAGAGTAAGAAGTCCAAGAAAATCCTAACACTGGCAACAAAAAACACAGGAGGTACAGTTTTGACTGATTTCATACTGACCAGTTAGTCTCCCTGGTGACTTTATTTATTTACTTATTTAATATTTAATTTTTTGGTCCAGTCGTGGGGCCTGAACTCTGGGCCTGGGCGCTGTCCCTCAGCTCTTCAGCTCAAGGCTAGCGCTCTACCACTTGAGCCACAGCGCCACTTCTGGCTTTTTTCTTTTTTCTTATGTGGTGCTGAGGAATCGAACCCAGGGCCTCAGGCATACAAGGCAAGCGCTCTACCACTGAGCCACCTTCCCAGCCCATCCCTGGTGACTTTAATATGTATGAAGTCTGGTCCCTTAGAAGGCTACAGGATTGGGCTGGGAAGGTGGCTCAGTGGTAGAGCGCTTGCCTTGCATGCTTGAGGCCCTGGGTTCGATTCCTCAGCACCACATTTGCAGAAAAAAAAAGCCAGAAGTGGCACTGTGGCTCAAGTGGTAGAGCGCTAGCCTTGAGCTGAAGAGATGAGGACAGCACCCAAGCCCAGAGTTCTGGCCCCACAACCCGGCCCAAAAACAAAAACAAAAAAGAAGGCTACAGGGTTGGCTACATGTCCAACCCTGGAGGCAGGATTGTCATCAGCAGGGATAAAGTTGACAGATATTGACTAGAGAATCAACTGATACAAAGGCCTAGAAATGGAAGGGGATTTGGCTATTGGGAGAAGTTCAAGGGCTCCGTTTACCTGATGTGTTATGTGTGAGGGGGATGCTAGAGTGCAGACAAGGTCGGCAGGACTGGCAGTGGATGGCTTGAATGCCCTTCAGAAGAGTGTGGATGTGTGTGCTGATCAGTGGTAGAGCGCTTGCCTGGCATGCTTGATACACTGCTTTCCCTACCCGGCCCTGCAAAAAAAGAAAAGAGGTAGACTTCAGCTCTGGGGTGGACAGTGTTGATCCAGCTCTCTGAAACAGTGTGACCTGCTAAGATGCACCTTTTTTTTTGTCAGCTGTGGGGCTTGAACTCAGGGCCTGGGTACTGGCCCTGAACTCTTTTGCTCAAGGCTAGCACTCTATCACTTTGAGCCACAGTACCACTTCAAGTTTTCTGGTGGTTAATTGGAATCTTACAGAAGCTGGGCGCCAGTGGCTCATGCCTGTAATCCTAGCTACTCAAGAGGCTGAGATCTGAGGATTGAAGTTTGAAGGCAGCCAAGGCAGAAAAATCCCCATGAGAGTCTTATCTCCAATTAACCCACCCTTGAGCAGAAAGCTCAAGGACAGTGCTCAGGCCCTGAGTTCAAGCCCTATGACTGACAAAGGGAAAAAAAATAATAGAAAAAAATGGATAGAGACTGAAAAGTGTTAAGGATGTAGACTATAGTAGTTTGTGACCGAGTGGTTAGGGGATAGATGTTTGCCCAGAGGGATGGGTGGTAGTGCTGTTTATTAGGAGCAGGAAGAGGAAAAAGGTAGCATGCCTGTAATCCTAGTTATTCAGGAGGCCAAGATCTGAGGATCATGGTTCAAAGCCAGCCCAGGCAGGAAAGTTTGTAAGACTCTTATCTCCGGGCTGGGAAGGTGGTTCAGTGGTAGAGTGCTTGCCTTGCATACATGAGGCCCTGGGTTCGATTCCTCAGCACCACATAAGCAGAAAAAGCTGGAAGTGGAGCTGTGGCTCAAGTGGTAGAGCACTAGCCTTGAGTTGAAGAGCTGAGGGACAGCTCCCAGGACCAGAGTTCAGGCCCCAGGACTGACCAAAAGAAAAAAAAAGAATCTTCAATTAACCGCCAGAAAACCAGAAGTGGTGCTGTGGCTCAAAGTGATAAGAGTGCTATCCTGGAGCAAAGTGAGTTCAGGGACAGTGCCCAGGCCCCGAGTTCAAGCACTACAGCCAGCAAAAAAAAAAAGAAGAGGGGGCAGATGTGTCATTAACGGGCTCAAAGCTTGCCGGTGTGCTTTGAGAGAGCCATTGGATCTCCACAGCTGTACAAGACTCCACCAGACCTTTGTAGCTGCATTAGTGACCAGTGCGTGAGTCCGTCAAGGTCACAGGCCTTGTTGAGGCAGGAAAGGAAGTCCAGGCCCTCTAGGCTAATTGTCTCAAATTTAGCATGTGATAGAGACAGATTTACCAGGTGATAGAGACAGCTCCTTGGGCTAGGAGGAAAACAGTGTCAGCCAACACCTACTGATTTGTGTCAGGCATTTTACTTGTAGGAAATAAGCTCTCTAGCACAAATGAGTTGCAATGGCAAGCACATTTGGGAACAGTCTGGGTGGGATGCTAGAGGCTTCTCAGGGCCACCTGGTTCCTGTTTATAGACAGGAGGAAGGGAGGAGGAGGGGAAGAAGCGGCCAGCCATGGTTGGAGGGTGGGCATCTGTAGAGGTCATACACTAGCCAAGCCAATCCTGTGCCATCAGCCTTAACGCACCCTCCTGTAGCACACTGGGCATCCAGGAGAAGTACTTGGGGTCCTCAGACCAGTCCGTGGAGCAGGAAACCATGCAGCTATAGCGACAGAGAGGCCCAGGAGAACAGTGGACAGACACAGCCGGCCACGGAGCCTAAAGAAGTCCTTTCGGCCAACATGCAGAGCCTGGCGAAGGGGCAGTGGCTCTACAAAGCACTTCTGGACAGAAAACCAGACAAGGCAAAGAGCAGAACACCCGCCACAGTGGTGCCTTGGGGCCTAAGTGCTGCCTTCAGGAAGTGCTGGTGGATGTTGAAGACCGGCTCGACTTGGACTGTGTTGGAGTGTTGGAATGCTTATTTAAGAGTTTACTTTCTATGTCCACACCCCCTCCCCACCCGCTCCCCCATCCCGAGGGTTTGAACTCTGTCTGAGCCTAGGTGCTGTTCATGAGCTTTTTCACTCATGACTAGGTCTCTACCACAGCTCTACTCCTGGCTTTTTTGTGGTTAATTGGAGATGAGTCTTTCCTGCCCAGGCCAACTTTGAACTGTGATCCACAGATCTCAGCCTCCTGGGTAGCTAGGATTATAGGCATGAGCCACTAGTACCTGGCTATTTTCTACTTCTTGTGGTTTCCAAACTTTTTCAACTCTGGTTTGGGGTAGAAAAAGGGACTCCTTGTGAGGAGACTTGCTTCGTTATTTAGGAGGTGTTTTCTCAGAGCACAGGAGTTGGCACCCTGGGACTTTGACACTCCAGCCCTGTGCTCTTGTTACTGCAGTATTCCTGGTGAGCCCATCTGCGACAGGCTTTGTACAGGCCTGATGGCGTCTCACGCCTGTAATCCTAGATGCTCAGGAGTGACACTCCCTAGCTACACCTTATTTTCATTGTATTTCATGGTTTATCATTTCAGGTATCTAGAGTTTAAAAGAAAATGTGGGCTGGGGATGTAGCTCAGTGTTAGAGCCCTACCAGCCTAGCAAATGTGCTAGTTCACTCCCTGGCACTATTAAAGTTTACTTCAAAATTGAATGATGTGTGCAAAGTGAGTTGTTTAAAGAAAATGTTCAGTGTATAATCGGGCAATTGTTCCAAGAGTATGCTAAAGTTAAGGTGGCTTAAGCTGGGATACACAATTGCTTGCTCTTTGGCTGTTTTTGCTGCTAGTGGGATGTAGTTCATACGTTCGACCAGTAGGTGGCACCATGGACTTGATGTTTGCAGTTGTAGAGGGACTGCCTAGAGGTTAGGATGGGCCTGCTGCTGCACTGAATAATCCCTATGGCTTTCACAGCAACCCTTAGAGATGGAAAGGGGATTATCACCAAGCCATTGCCTACTTTGAGAAAACAGATGGGTTTGAATTTAGCCTAGCTCTCAGCCCACTTTGCTGACTGAATTGTGAATGTTCCTCCTTAGGCATACTTATTGGTAGAGTTACTGCCCTCAGCCCACAGGATTTGTAGTCAGTCAGGAGACAGAATTTGGCACCTGTAAATGAGGAATGACTGACAACTGGATCACAGAACAAGGGAGAGGGCTGGGAGCGTGGCTCAAGTGGTAGGTACCTACCTAACAGACACGAGGCTAAATTCAAACACTAGCATGGACATCGATTTTTTTTTTTTTTTTTTGGTCAGTCCTGGGGCTTGAACTCAGAGCCTAGGCACTGTCCCTGGGCTGCTTTTTTGCTCAAGGCTAGCACTCTACCGTTTGAGCCACAACGCCATTTCCAGCTGAAGAACTGGTGCTGAGGAATGGAACCCAGGGCTTCGTGCGTGCTAGGTAAGCACTCTAACCTTTTTTTTTTGGGTCCGGTCGTGGGGCCTGAACTCTGGGCCTGGGCGCTGTCCCTCAGCTCTTCAGCTCAAGGCTAGCGCTCTACTACTTGAGCCACAGTGCCACTTCCGGCTTTTTTCTTTTTGCTTATGTGGTGCTGAGGAATTGAACCCAGGTCCTCATGCATGCAAGGCGATCGCTCTACCACTGAGCCACCTTCCCAGCCCAAAGCACTCTAACCTTTAAGCCACATTTCCAGCTCTCTGGCATCGATTTTAAAAAGAAATCTAAGAAAGAAAAAAGTTTAAATTCAAAAGCAGATGCTTGGGCTTTGCTTCCAAGTTTGGACAGCCATAACTGGAGGCCAAACACAGGCTGTGAGGAGCCCACTGTGGCTGGGGCAGTACAAAGCAGCCGACATCAGCTCCCACGCCTGGCGCTAGCGGGGATAATGATGGTACAGCCTCCCCGGCTGCTTTCATCTGAAGAGTTCAAAGTGCCTCACCCCTATTAATACTCTGCATAGTAGGTGGGGTACCAACACAGCAAGCCAGGGAAACTGAGGCCAGGAGGCACAGCCTGGGGCTGGCTGTGAGTCACCTATGGAGCCTAGAGCCCTGGCTGCTGGACAGATCCCTCATCTGGGCATGAGGGTGGGTGCATGTTTTTAAGGTAGTATCAATGGCTGTGGTTGTGGGTTTTGATGCTTAGCCATCACAGAAGCCTTAGTTCTCACCCAAAAGACCCGCGTGTGCACGCTGGAAGGCATTGTTTCTAACTTTATGGCTTCATATTCAAACACCTCAGCATTTATTCTCTAGAGTTATGCAGTGGAGTTGGATAGAAATTCAAAATTATTTTCAGGCCTTGGTGTGACAGCTAGGTTCTTTGCTTCTGAGTAAAAACAGTTTCTGATAGCACAGGGGGTTCGTGTTCCCTGTATACCCTTAGGGGAAGGGGGAAAGGTGGTGGGAAGGGGGCCAAGGGCAGGTTCTAAATGTGTCTCCTTCCATGTGAAATGTACAGGGTAAGAGAAGAGCATCACAATCAACAAATCTACTCAAGTATATACATATTTGTTCATCCTTTAAGTCTTCTCATATACATATAATTGGGATATTTTATATCTTTTCAGTTACATATAATTCCATATAATTATATATATATATATATATATATATATATATATAATATACACATAGGGGCTGGGAAGGTAGCTTAGTGGTAGAATGCTTGCCTAGCATGCATGAAGCCCTGGGTTCCTTTCCTCAGTACCGCATAAGCAGAAAAAGCTGGAAGTTGTGCCCAGGACTGACAAAGGCTTTTTGAATGTGCACCTAATATTTGGTGGCTTGGTTATATCACTTTGTTTCCTTAGCCAGATTCCCATAGCTAGTCTGTAAGTCATTACCAAGTCTTTTTTTGTTTTGTTTTTGTTTTTTGTTGTTGTTTTGGGTTTTGTTTGTTTTTTGCCATTCCTGTGGCTTAAACTCAGGGCCTGTGCACTGTTCCTGAGCTTCTTTTGCTGAAGGTTAGCACTCTACCACTTGAGCCATAGCGCCACTTCTGCCTTTTTCTGTTTATATGGTACTGAGGAATTGAACCCAGGGCTTCATGCATGCAAGGCAAGCAATCTTCCACTAAGCCACATTCCCAGCCCCATTACCAAGTTTTTTTGTTTTTTGTTTTTGGTCGGTCGTGGGGCTTGAACTCTGGGCCTGGGCGCTGTCCCTCAGCTCTTCAGCTCAAGGCGAGTGCTCTACCACTTGAGCTACAGCGCCACTTCCGGTTTTCTGGTGGTTTATTGGAGATAGGAGTCTCACGGTCCGGGCTGGCTTTGAGCCTCAATCCTCAGATCTCAGCCTCCTGAGTAGCTAGAATTACAGGCGTGAGCCACCAGCGCCCGGCTCCCATTACCAAGTTTTGAGTCTGATTTTTTTTTTTGGTCAGTCATGAGGCTTGAACTCTGGGCCTGGGCATTGTCCCTCAGCTCTTCAGCTCTAGGCTAGCACTCAGCGCCACTTTCAGTTTTCTGGTGGTTTATTGGAGATAAACGGACTTTTCTGCCTGGGCTGGCTTTGAACCGTGATCCTCAGATCTCAGCCTCCTGAGTAGCTAGGATTACAGGCGTGAGCCATTGGTGCCCAGGTGAGTCTGATTTTTAACCTGTGTTAAAGTCCTAGACATTCTGAGTTCTAGATTCATATTACTTCAGTGCTTTCCTATTGTCATTTTTCCCGGTCATCCCTAATAGGCAGTTACATTAGATCTCTGCATTTCCTGACTGAATTAGAGGACCCCAACACATGGAAGATGAACCTCAACTCATTGAAAAGGCTCTTAGCTGACAAAGATGCTTAAGAGAGAGGGTAAGGTCTCAAAGCCTACAGCACAGGTACGTACTCAGTCTATCTGAATAAGCAAAATGCTCACCCACAGCTGGTTTCAGATAGGAAGTCTTAATTCCATTAGGGTCTCCAGGAATAAGGAAAGGTAGATTGTAGAGATTCTCTGCCTTTCTCAAGAAGTTGGAGAGGAGCTGGGAAGGTGGCTCAGTGGTAGAGTGCTTGGCTTACTTTACATGCATGAGGCCCTGGGTTCAATTCCTCAGCATCACATAAGAAAAGCCAGAAGTGGCACTATGTCTGAAAGTGCTAGGCTTGAGCTGAAGAGCTCAGGGAGAGTGCCCAGGCCCAGAGTTTGAGCCCCATGACCAACAAAAGAAGAAAAAAAGTTGGGGAGGGAGATGGAGTAGTTTCAGATACATTCCAGCATGATGCCTCATACAGGCCGCCTACCCTCTCTTTTTCTCTTAACCCTGGGTGTGGAGCCCCTACCCAACATGGTGTGGGCTGCCATACACTCTTCCTGTCCTGCTTAGAAGGGAGGACCCCAGGTTAACATGTACCTTCCTAACAGCACACCTGCCAAGGATGAGGAAGCCATATTCTTCACTTCCAATCCACTGTGCTACATTTCGGGAGCTTAAAATGCTTTGGAGAAGACTACACAGTAAGGGGCTGGGAAGGTGGCTTAGTGGTAGAGTGCTTACCTTGTATGCATGAGACTCTGGGTTCGATTCCTCAGCACCACATAACAGAAAAAGCCAGAAGTGGCGCTGTGGCTCAGGTGGTAGAGAGCTAGCCTTGAGCTAAAGAGTTCAGGGACAGCGCCCAGGCCCAGAGTTCATGCCCCACAACTGGACCCCCCAAAAAAATTGTCAATGAAGCATCAAATCTAACTTCTTCCAATATTTCAGTCCTAGAGCAATGTGGAGTCCACATTGCTTTGTGGAGTCAAACAGCAAGTAAGGAAGATTGGGACATGAGTAAGATTGTCCCCAATTTTGTAAGTCATACCAGGGGTCATATGATCTGTTGTTTTTTGTTTTTTGAAGCTAAAAGTTAGTCTCCAATATCGTCAGACAAGATTTCAGATTACCTTTGCTCTGAAAAAGAAGAAAATGTGTCTTCCTTCTTTCCTCCCTCTCTTCCTTCCATCTTTCCCTTCCAGCAAATATTGAATACCATAATTTGGTAAATTCAAAGCTGATAAAAACCTAGATTTAAGGACTCCATGCTTTCCAGAGTCCAGGATTCCCTTTTATCTCCAGACAAAGGGTTCTAGTTCCCAGCCCTGTAAGGGGAAGACTGGGCTGAGAAGAGAGATGAATCAGCCTCTGGCACCCCCAGGGTGACATGCCTGTCTGCCACCCCCACAGACATTCCTGGCTGCTGACTCAGTGGGTAGGTGGGAATAGGGGCGCTCTTAGGAAAGGAGATGTGCACTGCAGAAACCTGCCTTCCCCACACCACGCCAAGCAGACGTTCGGGACGGAGTGGGCCTGTGAACAGGTGAAGCATTTAGAGACAGAAAGAATGCGACTAGGTTAAGGAAAACTAAATTCTGAGTGAGCCAGTAAAGCAGTCTACCTTACCACTTAAGGCCATTTGCTGGACACTGGAATGGAGTAAGATGGAGAACAGAGAAAGAAAAAGGCTAGATGACATATTCAAAGAAGATACATTTTATTTTATCTGTGTAGTGATTTGTTTTTGTGCTAGAACTGGGGCTTGAACTGCAGGCCTTTCGGTGCTCTTCTTGCTTGGCTTTTTTGCTTGTGGCCTGCACTCTACAACTTGAGTTCTGCCCCCCTGGTTCCTAATTCTTGGTCCAAAACAACAGGAGCAGAACAGCACAGAATACTGTAGTTGTTTTTTGTTGGGTTTTTTTGGGTGGGAGGGTCCAGTCGTGGGGCCTGAACTCAGCCTGGGCGCTGTCCCTCAACTCTTCAGCTCAAGGCTAGCCGCGTTCTACCACTTGAGCCACAGCACCACTTCCGGCTTTTTTTTTTCTTCTGCATATGTGGTGCTGAGGAATCAAATCCAGGGCCTCATGCACGTAAGGCAAGCACTCTACCACTGAGCCACCTTCCCAGCCCTGTAGTTCTTTTTAAATTTGTTTTTTTTTGTTGTTGTTGTTTTTGTTTTCGTTAGTCTTGAGACTTGAACTCAGGATCTGGGCATTGTCCCTTAGGCTTTGAGACAGCTCCACATTAGGTTTTTTTGGTGATTAATTGGAGATAAAGAGTGTCATGGACAGGGCTAGGAAGATGGTTCAGTGGCTCAAGTGGTAGAGCACTAGCCTTGAGCTGAAGAGCTGAGGGACAGCGCCCAGATCCAGAGTTCAGGCCCCATGACCGGACCAAAAAAAAAAAAAAAAGTGTCATGGACTTTCCCACCTGGGCTGGACAGATTTAGGATCATTATGGTCAGAAGCCCAAAAACTTCTGATTTGGTGATTGTTAGTCCACAGCATCTGTTTTTCAATCTTTCCACACCAACATATTAAGGCAGTTCATTTCTCCCCATATAGGGCAATCATGAGTGGTCAGGAGCCAATAGGCCAAAGTCAGAGCCTGGAGACAAGAAAGAAGTTTCTTTCCCAGGACCTACCCCATTAAGAGAAAGTCACCCGACCTGTCTGGTGAGAGAAACCAGGTCAGTTCCAGAACTGAAGGGAGTAGCCTGCCCGCCCAGAGTCTCCGGGTTTAGAACCTTGGAACGGAACACATCAGGAAAAAGAAAAGAAAAGAAACTGGGGACCCTCAAAGGCACCAGAATAGGCCTGGAGCTTTCCCCTCTAGATTAGGTGCGACAGATTTGAGACTCTTGTATAGAAAACGGAGGAGGCTGGCGGTCTAACTTTTCCTCAGGGCTGATAGCTGTGCTTTGGTCAAAGAAATGCTGTATAAATTCTGGGCTGATGTTGGAAAGATTAATTGGCAATCTTTTTTCTTGTTTTGTTTTTCGTTTTGTTTGGTGCTGAGCCCAGGGCCTAATGGGGTGCTAGGCAATAGCTCAGTCACTAAGCTATATCCCCAGTCCCACTAACATTATGAGCGTGGACTCCTTTTTGGGCATTGCTTTTTCAAACTGCACAGCTTTTATAAGAGGAAGGTATTCTTTCATTTTTTTTTCTTGTTGTGGCAGGAGAGATTGGTGAAGAGATGAAAATAATAGTGATTATTAGTATGTGTGCACCCTGGCCCTGAACTCAGGGCCTTCCAGTTTTTTTCTGTTGATGTGGTACTGAGGAATCAAACCCAGGGTTTCATGCATGCTAGGCAAGCAATCTACCACTAAGCCACATTCCCAGCCAGTCTGTTATTTTTAATAAATATAAAAAGGGCCAGGAAGTGGAGCTGTGGCTCAAGTGGTAGAGTACCAGCCTCAAGCAATAAAGCTAAGGGACAGCACTCAGGCTCTGAGTTCAAGCCCCAGTATGGGCACCAAATTTTAAAAAAAAATCCTGGCCAGGCGCTGGTGGCTCACGCCTGTAATCCTAGCTACTCAGGAGGCTGAGATCTGAGGATCACAGTTCAAAGCCAGCCCGGGCAGGAAAGACTGTGAGACTCCTATCTCCAATAAACCACCAGAAAACCAGAAGTGGCGCTGTAGCTCAAGTGGTAGAGTGCTCGCCTTGAGCTGAAGAACTGAGGGACAGCGCCCAGGCCCAGAGTTCAAGCCCCACAACTGACAAAAAAAAAAAAAAAATCCTGCTTGAGGAGCAGGAAATGTTTCTCTTTCTCCTTTAACCTGTTACGCAAAAATAAACTCTTGGTAATGCTTTTACCTTATGTAACATAAGATCCCTGAAATTCTTTTTCTTTTCACACACTCAAAAGAATGATCTCAAGTTCTTTTGGTTTCATGTGGAAACTGGGAAGCCCTTGCCCATTTTCCAGGGACATGGGTAGTTACTGGGGTTTGAACTAATGGCCTCCTGATTGCTAAGCAGTTACTATAGATTGCCACATCTCTAGCCCCTTTTGTTGTAGGTATGTTTCCAGCCTGGCTGGATCACAGTGGTACAAAGGGAAGGCTTTGTAGCTAGGATGAGGGCAGGAGCCACCACTCCCCGGTAGACTGGCTGCCATAGAATCTTGCAAACTTTTTACCTAGATCAGTCTACTGAGAACCTCTCCATTAAGACCTCCTGAGTAGCTGGGATTACAGGCACAGCCCAAGGTACTTTTTAATCCTCCTTTACAAAGGGGAACCCAAAGGCAAGCAAAGTTGAGCCTTGGGCGTTGCAGGCAGAAGGCCACCTCACGCATTCCAGAGCCCCAGATTTCCACTCTGATTTACTGCAGACACTAATTCAAGCCTCTTAAGAAACAGAAGGAGCCCGGCGTTGGTGGCTCACGCCTGTAATCCTAGTTATTCAGGAGGCTGAAGTCTGAGGATCACAGTTCAAAGCCAGCCCAGGCAGGAAAGTCCTTGAAACTCTTATCTTCAATAAACCACTAGAAAACCGGAAGTGGCGCTGTGGCTCAAGTGGTAGAGCACTAGCCTTGAGCTGAAGAGCTGAGGGACAGCGCCCAGGCCCAGAGTTCAAGCCCCACGACCGACAAAAAAAAAAAAGAAAGAAACAAGGAAGGGGGCCCCGCGGCCTCTGATGGCCTCCCAGTCCACCCGGCCAGCCCACCCCAGCCCAGCCCCCGCCAGGTGAGTGGGTGACTCAAAGGGCCGGGCTGGCCCCACGACCCCGCCCGGTGGAGCTGAGCTCTACATGCGGGCGGGCGGGCGGCAACTTGTCGGAATGAAACCCGAGAGGCGCCGCCCACCGGCGCTCCGCGAGTGGCAGCGCCGCCTCTCCGTCAGCGAGTCGCTGCCCAGTCGCTCGCCGCTCACTCCCTCATTGGACAATCGGGCCCTGGGGGCGGCACCCTGGAGTAACACCCTCCTGTGATTGGGCAGTATCGTTCCATGCCCCGCCTCCACGTGAGTTCGAGGCGGGGCGCCGCGGCCGCGGGTCCCAGCTTGTCCCTGCAGGCCGCGGGTTAGGCCGCCCTGGCTTCCCGCGGTTCTACCCACCGTGCGCCGGCTCCTCGCCTGCCCGCACCCTTCCGTCCGCAGGGCCGCCCGCTGGGGGGCGGTCCCCTCTTGGAGCTGGGTTTTGAATGGCGGCGCCGTGCACTTGGCTCGGCTCGGATCCGAGCACTTGCTGGGACTCGTGGGCTTGTCCCGCCCGCGGCGCCGCTCCCCCGCTCTGGGGAGCCTCAGCGCCGCCATTGCGCCCGCCCCGCCCCGCGCCCCCCCGATCGGAGCGAGGTGGGGCCCCGCGGCGCTCAGCGCCGGACCCCAACTTCTCACCGGGAGCCACTGGCCCCCAAGTCCCGCCCGCAGCCAGCCCCGGGAGGCCAGGGCCTCACTCAGCGTCAGGGTCGCCCGGACAGGCCCAGTCCCAGCCCAAGGCCAATAACCGGAGCAGACAGGCGTGTCACGGGGGAGCTTTTATTGAGAGGAGACGTGGTCACACCCAGCAGACCTGCTTTCCCTCTCCATTCACTCAGTCACACGCGCCCATCTCCAGTTCCCAGCCACGACAGCAGGGACAGGAGGAAAGCGCGGGGTGGGACGAAGTGGCAGTGGCGGGCCAGAGATGGGGTCGGGAGGAAGGGGGTGCAGAGAGCAGAGGACAGGCTGACCGGTAGTTTAGGAGCCCCCCCCCAGCTGTATGAAGAGTGGGATCCCAGCCCCATGGCCTCTGCTGGATGGCTCCCCCTGCCTCCTCCCTGGGGCAGAGCATTCGGGAAGGGTCAGGGCAGGGCCTGGTCCCGCCCCATTCTAGTCCTCTCCGCAGGCTGGGGACTGGAGGGCAGGGCGGGGGCAGGTGGACGGCGGCAGGTGCGCAGACTCAGCTCTGGGGCTCCTCGGGAGCCTCGCCGCCCTCTTCCCCTGCATTGTCGGCTGTCCACAGAGTCAGGTTGTCTCGCAGCAGCTGCATGATGAGGGTGCTGTCCTTGTAGGAGTCCTCGCTGAGGGTGTGCAGGTCAGCCATGGCCTCGTCGAACGTGGTCTTGGCCAGGGAGATGGCCTCCTCGGGGCTGTTGGCGATCTCATAGTGGAAGACAGAAAAGTTCAGGGCCAGGCCCAGGCGGATGGGGTTGGTGGGTGGCATCTCCTTCTTGCTGATGTCCATGGCCTCCTGGTAGGCTGACCGGGCAGAGTCGATGATGCGCTTCTTGTCGTCACCGGTGGCCACCTCGGCCAGGTAGCGGTAGTAATCGCCCTTCATCTTCAGGTAGAAGACCCGGCTCTCGGCCTCCCCGGCCTCCTTGATGAGGTGGGAGTCCAGCAGGCCCAGCACGGTGTCACACACGCCCCGGAGCTCTGTCTCCACCTTCTCCCGGTACTCCTTCACCTCAGGGCCCTTTTCTTCCGAGCCCTCCTCATTGCTCTTCTGCTCGATGCTGGACAGGACCCTCCAGGCAGCCCTCTGGCCACCCACCACGTTCTTGTAGGCCACCGAGAGCAGGTTGCGCTCTTCGCAAGAGAGCTCCTCACCCTTTTCCACAGCGCCTTTCATGAACGCTGCCATGTCCTCATAGCGTTCAGCCTGCTCTGCCAGCTTGGCCTTCTGGATCAGACTGGCTCTCTCCATGGCTCTGGTGACAGACAGACAGACAGAGACAGGCCGTGGACTAACTGGCTGCTTCTGGACCAATGCAGGATTCTGTGCCTCTCCTGCTCTCCCTCTGCCTTTTGGCTGGGTGGCATGGCCTAGAGAAGGGTGGGGTGGGACAGGGGCGGGACTGGGGCCCAGGACCTGCCTCCTTCCCCCCCCCTCCCCACACCCTTTCCTGCTCTTCCTTAAAGGTAAAAGGGTTGGGATGTGGGGGGTGAGTCATCAGGACAGTCAGCAGGCGAAATCGGGGCGTGGGCCCCACCTGTACAGGCACCTTTCTGGGTCTGTGCTGCCCCCTGCTGTTCAGGGCTACGTTATAGTGATGCCCATATTAGGAAACTACCCCAGATTCTCAGATCAGATCCTCCTTCAGTGTCCTTCCTGGGGTAAGGATGGCTTCAGCCCCCTGGCTGTCTACCAGACATTTTTCCACTTGGTTCAGGTGAGCGATAACACAGGTGTCCATAGAACTGGTACTGTTTTCCAAGCGTTTTGACATCATGGTCTCCATAGGGGCTAAGATTTGCCCCAGGTCTCTTTTTTTTGGGGGGGGGGTCCAGTCGTGGGGCCTGAACTCGGCCTGGGCGCTGTCCCTCAGCTCTTCAGCTCAAGGCTAGCACTCTACCACTTGAGCCACAGTGCCACTTCCGGCTTTTTTCTTTTTGCTTATGTGGTGCTGAGGAATCGAACCCAGGGCCTCAGGCATGCAAGGCAAGCGCTCTACCACTGAGCCACCTTCCCAGCCCCTGCCCCAGGTCTTATAGCTAGCAGCAACCTGACTCGTCCTCTTCCTACTTGCAACTTCATTCATTGGGATTTTCTCTTGTGGAGGCCTCTGACCTATGAACTCCAGCCAGTATCTGAGTGAAAACCCAGTTTTCTTCCTGAGTCTACTTAAAGGTCCTTCTGTCACCTGGGCCCCTCTCCCAAGGTCCCCCCTGAGCTCCCCAGTTCACAGGCAGCAGCTTTCAGGGTGCCACTTAATGAAGAAGTCTTTTAACAAGCGAAGCGGCCTCCGACGCCTCAGCCCAGGCTTTGTAATTAGTCACCCAGTGGGTTTGTTGGACACCTTCCCCATCACAGCACAATTTTCCCTTTCAAGTTGGTGGCCTGTTGCCACTTGTCTGAAGGTTTACCCTCTGGCTGTCCACACCAGGTCACCTGCCCCCTCCAAACTGTCTGCCATCATGGATCAGCAGGGCTGGCAGAGGGTGGAGGCCCAGCTCCTCTGCTGTCCCACTTTCATGCCTGACTCAGACGGCCCTCTGTCAGAGGCTGGAAGCAGGCCACCGACCGGCTCCGTTTGCTTCCCCCAGGGGGGACGCTAGCAACCCCGGGGAGAGACAGGGCTGAGGAAAAGGAGGCAGCAATGACACATACCATTTTGTTTTATGGGGTGGCAATTCCAGCTCAGTGACTTGAGTGTCCCCAGTCTGTCGCCCAAAAGATTCCTTGCCCCTTCTGAGTATAACACCTGCCCCCCCCCCCCGCAGGCTTCACAGGTGGAGGGCTAGGTTGCTGAAGCCCTGTCTTCAAGCTTCACCAGGAGCATTACCTAAGACTGTTGGCACTGAGCCTGTGGGGGTGGATTCTTGCTGGTCCCTCCTGCCTCTACCTAAAGCTCAGATGGGGCTCAAGGGTGAGGCCCCACCTCCTTTCTGGGATCCAGTCTAATCCTTGAGCTAGGATCATGTTACAGGCCTGCATCTCTCCTGAGGCCTCTGAAATCTGAGTACTCATCTTGTTCTGGTGGGAACCCCAAAGACTGAAGATGTCATCTGTTTGCCACAAGAAAAAGTGGGGGACTGGGGTTGTAGCTCAGGGCTAGAGTGCTTTCCCTAGCATGTTGAAGCCCCTAGGTTCCATTTCTAACACCACAAGAAAAAACAAAAAAGCAGGGACATGTCTAGGCTATGTTGTTTCCCAGGAAGCCAATGGGATTTTAGGCCAAATTCCTGAAGGCTTGGCTCAAATTGAAGCATTGACACAGAAAAGGATGGAAAATAATTATACTAAATTATACTAAAATACCAACTTTGTGTGTGTGTGTATGTGCGTGTGCGCATGTACACGCATGCACTAGAACTGGGGCTTCGACTCAGGAACTTCACATATTTTTGCTACGCTTTTTTTGGTCAAGGCTGTTGAGCTACCATTGGAGATAAGTTGCATGGATTTTTTTTTTTTTTTTTTTTGGTCAGTCGTGGGGCCTGAACTCTGGGTCTGGGCGCTGTCCTCAGCTCTTCAGCTCAAGGCTAGCGCTCTACCTCTGGAACCATAGCACCACTTCTGGCTTTTTCTGCTTATGTGGTGCTGAGGAATTGAACCCAGAGCCTCATGCATGCAAGGCAAGCACTCTACCACTGAGCCACCTCTCATGGATATTTCTGTCAGGGCTGCCTTCATCCATTGATCCTCAGGCCTCAGTCTCCTGAAAAATCTCAGCCAGTCTCAGCGCCTGGTTTAAAATACCAATTTACTTAGATTATCTTTAGGTAGTGAGACCCCCTAAGCCTTTTCTTTCCTGTTTTTTATTTATTCTTTCCAGATTATGAATGGCAAATATGTACTGTTTTTCATTAAGAGACAGAAATATCCTAGTATCTTTGGAATTAGACTGCTGAGTTTGATTTTTTTTTTTTATTTCTGGTCCTGGGGCTTGAACTCCCTGAACCTCTTTGTGCTCAAGGCTACTGCTCCACCACAGGAGCCACAGCGCCGCTTCCACCTTTTCCTCAGTAGTTTATTGGAGATAAGAGTCTTGTAGACGTTTTTGCTCAGGCTGGCTTTGAACTGTGATCCTCAGATCTCAACTTCCTAAATAGCTAGGACTGCAGTCATGAGCCATCAGTGCCCAGCCCTGAGTTCAATTATTATTATTTTTGGTTGGTTGTAGGGCTTGAACTCTGGGCCAGGACACTGTCCCTCAGCTTTTCAGCTCAAGGTGAGCGCTTTACCACTTGAGCCACAGCATCACTTCAGGTTTTCTGGTGAAACCAGATAAGAGTCTCATAGACTTTCCTGCCCGGGCTGGCTTTGAACTGCGATCTTCAGATCTCAGACTCTGGGCTGGCTTTGAACTGCGATCTTCAGATCTCAGACTCCTGAGTAGCTAGGATTACAGGTGTGAGCCACCAACATCGGGCTCTGAGTTAATTTTTTTTTTTTTTTGTTAGTCATGGGGCTTGAACTCTGGGCCTGGGCGCTGTCCCTGCAAAGGCAAGTGCTCTACCTGTTGAGCCACAGCGCCACTTCCGGTTTTCTAGTGGTTTATTGGAAATCAGTCTCATAGACTTTTCTGCCTGGGCTGGCTTTGAACCGAGATCCTCAGATCTCAGCCTCCCGAGTAGCTAGGATTACAGGCGTGAGCCACTGGTGCCCGGCTTCTGAGTTCTATTTTTTATAAGCTTCTGTGGTCATGACCTTTGTGAACCTCAGTTCTTATAGCGATGAGAGTGGGGCGATGGAGGATGCAAATGAGCTCCTGGAAGCTCGAGGGAATCAAGAGGGAAGTAAATATTATGTGACATAAGCCCGACCAACTTTGTTACTAAACCACACACAGCATTATTGATAAGCTGAGCTCTACAAAATCAGCCTTGAAAGATCAGCCCCTGTCAGGCGCCGGGTGGCTCAAGCCTGTAATCGTAGCTACTCAGGAGGCTGATATTTGAAGATTGCAGTTCAAAGCCAGCCCAGGCAGTAAAGTCCATGAGACTCTTATCTCCAATCAACCACTCAGAAAACCAGAAGTGGTTTAGTGGCTCAAGTGGTAGAGCACTAACCTTGAGCTGAAGAGCTGAGGGACAGCGCCCAGGCCCAGAGTTCAAGGCCCACAACTGAAGGGGGGGGAGGGAGGAGATCAGCCCCTGCTGTGGGGTCTCCACAGGGGAATTTGCATATGGCCTTCCCTCTCCTCTAGAACCTTCCTGTGGCCTCCTCAGGCCCAGGTGCCTTGATTTCCTCTGCTTGTCATCAGCCGGGGTTTCCCCAAGTCCTGGGGGGATCAGAAGGTTCCAGAGCCCTGGGAGCCTGGAAGGCAGGCCTGGCAGATTAGGAACTGCTCTATTCAACATTCAAGAAGGGAGCATGTTGTTGGGGGTGGGGGGGCGGTGGCAGGGTTTCACAGCAAAGTTCCAGGTCCTTAGCACACCCGCACTCCTCCGCCCTACCCTTCTGCAGAAGAAGCCAGGCGGCCTGAGCTCCAGCTGGCTCTGGCCTGCCTGTGGATCCTGACTCAGTTCCTGTGTCAGTTGCCTCCCTTTGCCTCCAGGCTTCCACTTCCCAAGTCCAGGGCCCGGGCGTGCAGGAGGTGGCAGGCCCCGGCAGGGCCCAGCGCTACATCAGCTGCCTGAGTCAGCAGGCCCGGAGCTGGGGCTGCAGAGGAAGGGGGCTTTCCTTACCTCGCCTGTCACCTCCCCACCCTTATGAGTTGTCTGTCCGCCCTATGGACCCTGGGCCTAGGCTCCCCTTCTTCCTCAGCTGAGAGGAACAGGCTTTGAAGGGTTGTGATACAGAGAAAGCAGCAACCTATCAAAGGACAGGAGTCTGAAGGCAGCAAGAGAGACTCTGGGTAGAGTCCAGAAAGAACTGCCAAGGAAAGTCCTGTCTGGAATATCTGAATTAAACAGGCGGCCAGAGATTATAGCACCTTCTTTATGAATAAGAGACCAGTTACTCAGCGGAGAGGGCTCTCTATGCAGTCACTTTTGGGGAGGGATACCAGGTAAGTTCAAGTGATTCAGTCTTGTCTTCCTCCAAGGCACTGTTATGTGGAGAATCCCAATTCTCCTAAACCAGTCCAGTCTAGGGTAGTGTGGAATTTATGGAAGGAGAATGGAATGAGGTCAGGGTGCAGGGGCACATTCCTGCTGTGCTCTAAGGTCTTGGGCAGGTCCCTTCCTGCACACGGGCCTCAGCTCCCGCCCTGGCATGGAGGCCCCTCACCAGCTTTTTGTCAGTTGTGGGTCTTGAACTCTTGGCCTCGGCGCTGTCCCTGATCTCTTCAGCTCAAGGTCTAGCATTCTACCACTTGAGCCACAGCGTCACTTCTGGTTTTCTGGTGGTTC